GCAGGAATGGGCTGGCGATGCCTCACTGAAAGGGGAACCCAGTCACCCCAAGAAACAGTGGCCGCTAATTCATTGGCAGAATAAAGATCCCAGAGAGCCTGGGAAAAACAAACAGGTCCTTCTAGGGAGTGAACTGTTTTTCAGGATTCCTTGGCAGGCAACCAGCCACTCTGCTTTGTAAGGTCTTGTTCTTCCTTGCAAGGAGGAAAAAAAATAACTGAAGGGCTCCTGTTTTATTGAATAAGGTCATCATAATGCACTCAAAAAGACCAGTGCCACTGCTCCTCATTGTGAGAGCTATGGAGTGGAGCTGCACGTTACAGGTGCTTGAATAAACAACATTACCACTTTCAGGAGATGAGAAAATATATAAAAGAAGAGCCTAATGACTTCAGCCCAGCCAGCTTTTTCCCCACTCTTCACAACCCCCCTTCTTGCATCCCAGACAGCCTCCAAACCAATGCCACTGCCTGTCTCCAAGTGCGTGACAGCGGAAAAAGGCCTTTTCTCTCACAGGAACAGCCAGTGCAACCCAGATAGGCTGTGGGGAGGTTTAACCCCTTCGCTGGCTGGCCATGCACTGTGTATGACCACAGGAATGCTGTGCCACATAAATATCTGTTTCCTGAGCAATGCATATTGTTGGCTTACTTACCTTACCCATTCCAGCATGAGCATGTCCCAGCTTGACCACTATAGGGAAATTCAGAGTTGTGAGCTGAAAGACAAAAGAAGGAGCTCCTTGTTAGTATTTCTTTCCAGCTATTGTATTTCAAATAGTTTACTTTTATTTATTAGCTTTTGTCCCCTTCCTGGATGCTGATGGTAGGGCAAAAAAGTAAAATAAAGATTGTCCGGGTAGTAGGACAATAAGCAAGTAGCTTTTCACTGGGACCCATATGATCAGAAATGGAGGCCAGGCAGAATTCCTCAGATATGACCTACTTTTGTTGCCTGATAGCAGTTACCTCTAAAACCTTATTTTTTCCCCATTTCTTTTCCCACCCTTGACGTATGGATGTGCATACATTCATGTGCATGTAAAAAAACCTGCACCTGTAAGCTTGACTAAGTGAACACTTTCAGATGTTGAAAATATCTGAGTTGTGAGAATGATGAGGGTTGGTTGTTTTTTCCCAAGCAGGCTGTTTTGGCCTTTCAAGTGCACGCTAGCAGTTTCTCAGCTGCTCCTATTCCCCTTCCGTCAGCAGTGGTGTGGACAAGGAGAGAGGGAACAGGGGCCAACCCTGTCGCAAAGTCCATCTATTCATAAAGGCTCTTCCTTTCTTCTCTATCTTCAGGGGTGGGTGCAGAGAATAAAAAAGAACAAAGAAGGGTTGGGATCAGCAACAAAAATAGAAAAAATTATGTCATGTCTTCTCCCTGGCTTGTGTGGTGTTTACTTTGAGTAGGGTCCTGCCATCCAAGCCATGCAAGTACATCTTAGTGCACATGTGGGATTTTACTTGGAGAACTGTAAGTATTCTCTCTGCCTTCTATTACTCAGTTTCATGCTCATGTGAGAATCCACTGAGTGACTGGCTCAGAGCTGGGTGTCTGGACTGGTAGGAAGTGCCAGAAGTAGCCAGGATATATATACCACCCTGTGATCTTAATATTGTCCTATGCTCCTGATTCTTGTGATCTAAATGCCATCTCTTCAATACATAGCTTGTTATTTTTTATTGCATATTTAATTTTCTTCAATGGGAATTATTTTAAAAGACACTTTTGTCTTTACGTAAATGCCTGAGGCCACAAGCTCTATTCATTAAGCAGTTAACCTGGAGATCTGGCAGTGGGAAGGAGTTGAATTTTGAGAGATAAATAGCTCTCTTATTTATTTAAGAATAGATAAACAAATGTTCTTGTGCTAATTACCAATTGTCTGTGTGGACGGGCGAGTGCTACGCCCGAAGGATAGAAATGGTGCTGCAGTCTCCGTCTGCAGCAGCTCGCTATAAATAACAACATTAGAATGAACACTTCTATGTTTTGCTGTTCAGCTGCTTATATAAAGAAATGTCACAGGAGAGGGGAACAGTGAGTGCTTCATGTTCTCAAACAACCTGTGACTCTTGTCAGGACCTTCTTCAGACAGAAAGCTGAAGGATCCTCTTTGGACCACAGAAGGGAGCACAGCTGCAATAACTCACCATCCTGGCACAGGCAGGGCCCAGCACACACTGTTTCAAAAGAAGAAACAGGACTTTGATGGGTGGCCATCCTGAAGCCCCACAGTTAGGTCTGTGTCCAGGCACATGAGTTTGTGCTCTATCTTTCCTTCACCTCCCTAATTCATTGTAGGAACCTGAAATGTAATTCTCTGCTGGTGTAAATGAATCAAATAGAGGACTGCACCTGAGGCTACTGAAGATAGGGCTATGGATGGATCGCACCAGGCCTTTAATGCTGGAAGATGAAGTTAGGGCACCCACCTGCTCAGGCTGTGGGAGACCTGGCTCACTTCCCAGCTCTGCCATCCGTGCCCCATGCCCACAGTTTGAGGCGAAGCGCTTGCCCGGCCTCCGTTCCCTCTTGGTGCGCTGAGGCGGCAGCTGTTCTCACTGCACAGGAAGACCCAGCTGCTTGCTGTGAGCTGTCCTGGCACCCTGGCAAGGAGGCCAGAAAAGTGTGCGGGATAGATAATGTTCTATCACCAGCTGGAAGCAGCCATAGGCAGGAAGCGATGTTTCTGCTGCCCTGTTTGTGTTCCCTACCTGCGGGTTTTGCTGAGGGAGCCTGGCTCAAACATGGGGCCCGGGAGTGGGAAGCATCTGTTTTCCTGTGTACATGCAAAGAAAGTTTGGGATCCAACAAACAACCCAAATTTACTGTTAGCCTGAAAGGAATCACCGCCAATGACAACGCTCTGCTCAGACCTCTCCCTTTTCTTTGCTTCTTGGAAACATGAGCTCAGCTTTCTCAGTAAGGCTTGGCCTCATCCTGGTAGGGGTGACCAGCTGGTGCCAGAGCACATTGGAGTCACAAGCTGCTTGACCTGGCCACAGCATGGGGGTTTGGGATGAAACGTGGATCCAGACTCTAAATGCGGGGTAGACTCTCTGGGAAAGCTGCAGCTCCGGGAAAAACTGGCACACACACAGGTTACCAGGAATCTGTTTCTGCCACGGAAGCCTCACAACATTTCCGTGTACATGAATCCCTCTGTTGGAGGAACCTACACAAGGGAGTGGCACACACACTTAGAAGCATTTTATAATGGGTTTACGTAGGGACAGTGGAATGCCCTTAGTCTGTGCTGAAGTTAAACGGAATTGAAAGTTCTCAATAGTCCACAAGACTAAAGCTACCAGAGCCCACAACCATTTGATAATGGAGCAAGGAAGCCCCTGCTGAAGTGGTGGAAGTGGACTGAACCCCACTTTGTTCAATGAGGATACTTCCAGCTTCCACAAGAGTATTTTTGGGGCTCAAGTCCCATTTTTGTTACTAGTAAGGGGACCAGTCAGCATACTGGCAAGCACCCACCTAGATAGGGAAGCTGAAGGAAGGGAGAATGTACTATACACACAACCATGAAGCAATTCACACACGTTGGTGGTGAGAAGTTCTAGGGGTGGCCACAGCTGCCACAAGGACAGACCTGAGATGAGTGTTTACACATACTTAGCCATGGATTTCCTGGGAAAGAAGATGCTTATAATCAAAGGATAGCACCAGGGCTTAATAAGAAAAACATGTTTTTACTGAAATAATGTAAAGAAATATGTCTGTGCCTTTCTATGTGTTTGTTTATGTGCTGTAAGGGCTCTTTTTTCTTGGAAAAATAGGGGAAAAGACTTTGATGCTTTTAAAATGTGCATGAACTGTTGACAGGGCTGGTATATATGACGTCTGTGGGTTTTGGGATGGGACTGTAGCACTGCAGCTAGTTCAGTGATCAGACGCAGGGTTCATATGCATAACTCATCCCTTTGAATTAAAATCCTATTAATGTATTCCCAGATGTTGTTCCACAAAAGCCTTGAGATGACAAGGTTTACATATGTGTCTAGAACTCGTGTATGAAGATGCCTGTTTAGAGTCAAGCAGGAGTTTGGATCTTGAACTAGAAACTCAGCAAAGCCATCTTTGGTAGGAGCAAAGGGAGAGTAATGAAGTTATTTACAGTGAATTTACAACACTGGTGGCCCAAAGTATATAATTTCAGCCCCTGATTTTAGGGGCTCTGCTCTGTGTGTAGTGTCACTGCAAAGATCACTTTGCAGTTAATCAGTATTTTGGCACTGGTGTGTAAAAGTGAGTTCTGGTATGCATACATTAGCTTCTGTTTGAAAACACATGCCTGTAAACTATGACACTTTCCCTTCTGCTCCTCCTTTCCAACAAATAATGAGGTTTCCATACTTCCTGTAAATAGATGAATATTTTCTGTATTTATTTCTGGTGGAGCAGTAGAACAGAGTTGGATATAAATTGATCTGCAAGGAGGAATCTTAGATGAAAAGTCTAATACATAACCTATCTATTACATAAATACAATGCTTTTGTTTCAAGAAGGATGCTGGTGTTAGACCTGTGATTTTGTGTAGTGTCCTTTAGTACATAAACAATGGGCAATGTATGTTTTTGTTTGTTTCTTTCTGCCATGTTTAGTTTTGTGCATTACTTCTCTTAATCCAGCTTATCTCGTATGATGTCCTTGCAATTTCCAGTGTTATCCTTTCTTCTGCAAAACCTTTCCAGTCAGTCCTCAAGTCAGTAGTCCAGGGTGTAATGGCATCACAGATGCAATTTCTTCATCACAGATGATATTAGAAAGGATTTGGGCAAATGTGAGATGGAGGCATTAAAACTTTGGACTCTTGGCATCAGTATTGTATTACCCCATAGCACAAGGTTCTGTATTTTTTGCTTCACCCTCCCCCCAGAAGTAGTACTGGGAATTTTTTAAGCTTTTATGCTCTGAAACTGACTTTTCTGTTTATTTAGCTGCCTTTACTTGTATGATGACAAAGTCTGCTCTGGGTGGGTACCTAATGGATTATGGGAATGTTGTTCATGCACTTGAGAGCAAAATGTTGAAAGTAATGTGTGTGGCACTTCCCTGCTGTCAATTAAGTTGGAGGAGCGGTGAGTATATATGATTTCCTGTAAAAGCAAGAAAGCTGATTCAAACCTACAGGAAAATAATGATGTAATGTCACTATGTCATTGTGTTTATGGAACGGTCTTACTGAAAATCTGAGCTGTAGATCCCCACTGGTTGCATGCCAGCCTTGCTAGGCATGGCAAATCAGGGCTGTATAGCGAGATACGGAGGAGAAGCAGTAGTGCTCCCTGTTATTCACTTACTCACTCACACGTTGATGCAATCACCAGTTACATGCGGAATGACTCACTCAGTGGATTAATACTGTGGCCGCATGGAAGTCTGCAGTGGCCAATGACTGTGACAGACAAGTCCTTCCCATCTACCAGTTGCCAGATCAGAATCACAGAATCAATCACAGAATTTCTGGAGTTGGAGGGGACCTTAAAGATCATCGAGTTCCAACTCGCCTGCATGGGCAGGGACACCTTCCACTAGAAATAATGTAAGAAGTGTAAGACACAACAATGGGAGAACATGGTGAACAATAAGAGTTGCCAGCATTAATATCTGTGCTCTATTAAAAACATGTTATATGGATTCCTTTAAAATATGCATGCCTGTACTCACTACTGTATTATAATTATAGCACAATGAAGAAG